TCAGCAGTGCCCCCCCCTCCCTGCAGGGCAGCAAGCCTTGCGATGGGATCAAACAGCACCAAGCAAATGCTGAGCACCAACCTCAGAGCCAGAGTGACCCCCATGGGACACACAGAGCCGACCCAAGAGCACTTCCACCACATTTCCCACGGAACTTTGCTTCTCTGGATGATGGAGTGACCAACCGTGGGGTTGCCCACCTCCCTCAACCCCCCCTTCCCCCCCCCGGGGACCCATACCTGCTCATTGACCGTCAGCGGGGCATCCTGGCTCCGCACGGCCGCAGCGTCCATTGCTTTGTCCCCGGGAGGTGGCGGAGGGTGGGGGTCCGGCTCAGACCTTCCTCATGCTGCAAAGAAGGGATGCAGCCCCCATCACCCCCCGCCCACCCGGAGCATCGCTCCTTGGGCTGAATTTCCCCCAGCATTGGAGGTGCAATGAGGCGTTCCCAAGGGGGAAAGGCTCACACACCTCTTGGTGGGGGGCTCACACATCATTTGGGGGGGGTCACACACTCACCCAGGGGCTCACACACCCACTGGGGGTCTCACACACTCATTGGGGGTCTCACACACCCATCTGGGGTCTCACACACCCATTGGGGATCTCACACACCCACTGGGGGGCTCACACACTCATTTGGGGTCTCACACACCCATCTGGGGTCTCACACACTCATTGGGGGCCTCACACACCCACTGGGGTCTCACACACCCATTTGGGGTCTCACACACCCATCTGGGGTCTCACACACCCACTGGGGGTCTCACACACTCATTGGGGGTCTCACACACTCACTGTGGGTACTACTTTCCTGTTGGGGTCTCACACACTCATTGGGGGTCCCACTTTCCTGTCGGGGTCTCACACACCCACCAGGGGGCTCACACACCCATTGGGGGTCTCACATTTTACTGGGGTCTCACACTCTTATTGGGGGGGCTCGAATACCCACCAGGGGGCTCACACTCCTGCTGGGGGTCTCACATACTTACTGGGGTCCCTCTTTCCTGTTGGGGTCTCATACACCCATTTAGGGTCTCACATATTCATTTGGGGTCTCACACACCCATGGGGTCTCACACACCCATTTGGGGTCTCACACACCTATTTGGGGTCTCACACACCCACTTGGGGGTCTCACACCCATTTGGGGTCTCACACACCCATGGGGTCTCACACATTAATTTGGGGTCTCACACACCCATCTGGGGTCTCACACACTCATTGGGGGCCTCACACACCCACTGGGGTCTCACACACCCATCTGGGGTCTCACACACTCATTGGGGGTCTCACACACCCACTGGGAAGACCATGATGGGAAGATCCATATGGGAACACCATGATGGGAAGATTCACATGGGAACACCTGAAAGGGAACACATGGATGGGAAAATCCATATGGGAAAAGTCCTGGATGGAAACACCTGGATGAGACATCCATATGGGAACCCATGTATAGGAATGCCTGGATGAGAAGATCCATATAGGAACACCCAAATGGGAACATCCATATGGGAACACCTGGATGAGAACATCTGGATGAGAAGATCTATATGGGAACATCCACATGGGAACACCATGGTGGGAAGATCCATATGGGAACATGCAAATGGGAACATTTGTATGGGAACACTTGGATGGGAAAATCCATACGGGAATACCCAAATAGAAATGCCTCAATGGGAACGCTTGGATGGGAACATCCAGATGGGAATATCCTGATAGGAACATCCATATGGGAACACCATGATGGGAACATCCTGATAGGAACATCCATATGGGAACACCATGATGGGAGCACCCACATGGGAACATCCATATGGGAACACCTGGATGAGAACACCTGGATGAGAACACCTGGATGAGAAGATCCATATGGGAACATCCACATGGGAACACCATAGGGGAAGTTCCATATGGGAACATGCACACGGGAACATTTGTATGGGAACATTTGTATGGGAAAATCCATACGGGAACACACAAATGGAAATATCTCAATGGGAACACCTGGATGGGAACGTCCAGGTGGGAAGACCATGATGGGAAGACCTGGATGAGAACAACCATAAGACATCATCCATATGGGAGCACCTGGATGGGAATATCCAGATGGGAAGACCATGATGGGAAGATCCATATGGGAACACCCAAATGGAAACACCCTGATGGAAAAGCCTGGATGGGAATGTCCTGGTGGCAACATCGTGATGGGAAGATCCATGTGGGAACACCCAAAAGGGAACACGTGGATGGGAAAATCCATATGGGAAAAGTCCTGGATGGAAACACCTGGATGGGACATTCATATGGGAACCCATGTATTGGAATGCCTGGATGAGAAGATCCATATAGGAACACCCAAATGGGAACATCCATATGGGAACACCCTGATGAGAACACCATGAGGGGAAGGAGCAAGGAGAGGAGCAAGGAGACCTGAACTGACTGCATAGGGTAGGGGTGGAGGGAAATGTGGGTGGGGAGGGTGGGAAGAGAGGAACCTGCAGTGGTGGGTTGTGTTAGGAGGGTCCTTAAAGATCACAGAACAATAGTTGGGTTGGAAGGGTCCAGAAAGAACACAGAAGCATCGGATGGTTGTGTTGGAAAGGTCCTGAAAGATCATAAAGCCATGGGATGGTTGGATTGGAAAGGACCTTCAAGATGATAGAAGCAGGGGATGGTTGGGTTGGAAGGGACCTTAATGGTCACAGAACCATAGGATGGCTGAGCTGAAAGGGTTCTGAAAGATCATAGAACCATGGGATGGTTGGGTTGGGAGGATTCTTGAAGATCACAGAACCATGGGATGGCTGGGTTGGAAGGGTCCTGAAAGGTCACGGAACCATGGGATGGTTGGGTTGGAAGGGTCCTGAAAAATCACAGAACCATGGGATGGTTGGGTTGGAAGGGTCCTGAAAGATCACAGAACCATGGGATGGTTGGGTTGGAAGGGTCCTGGAAGATCATAGAACCATGGGATGATTGAATTGGAAGGGCCCTTAAAGATCACAGAACCATGGGATGGTTGGGTTGGAAGGGTCCTGAAAGGTCATGGAACCATGGGATGATTGGGTTGGAAGGGACCTTGAAGATTATAGAACCATGGGATGATTGGGTTGGAAGAGTCCTTGAAGCTCACCCAATTTGACCCCCCCCCCACTCCCACCCCAGGGCGCTCTGGGGGCACCCACTGCTCACTCACAGTTTGCTCTGGGGACCGCAGACTGCAGTTGGGTTGGGGATGTCCCAGTCCTTGGGTGGCACCTGGGGTCCCGCCGTCAGCTGTGGGGAAAGAGAAAGCAGAGCTGAGGCCATGGGGCTGAGAATCATCCCCATCCCATCCCATCCCATCCCATCCCATCCCCATGGATTCAGCAGCCAACACATTCAGTTCAGCAAAATGCATCGATCCATTGAGGAAAGCAATGGAGAGCAATTAGGGCCGGGCGATTAAGGGGACGTTGGTCCCATCAGCTCCGAGCTGTTTGGTGGCACAATTCAGATCCGGGAGCTCCCCTGGATGCAGCGCTACGTTTGAGCTTCTTCACACTTTTTTTTTTTTTTTTTTTTTTTTTGCAATTAATGGGACAATTAATTGGTGCAGATGGCGGCGCACAGCGCGTGGTGAGCAGAGCCGTTCGGCAACAGATGGCGGCCAGAACCAAAATGCACAAAATAATAATATTAAAAAAAAGAGGGGAGGGGGGGGAGAAGGGAAGGGATGGAGAGGACCACCGGAGCTGCTCCAAGTGATTACAGCCCCGTGTTAATTACGGCACTGATGAGTCACACGCGGATCCCACGTGGGCGGATCTCTCCGTCAGTGAGGGATCCGATGGGGTTAATTGGGGCCGGGTCATATGGGGACAATGGGGACGTGGGGATGGGGATGAGGGGATGGGGTGCTAAGTAATGGCCTCATTATCCCAGTTTCAGTCCTTTGCAATTCCCATCCCAGGGAATGCACGCCGCTGCGTCTCCCAGTTCATAGAGTCTCCCACGTTGGAAGGGATCCATTGGGATCGATGAGGTCATCAAATATGGGAAGCACCCACTGGAATCAATGAGTACATGAAGCATGCGTTGGGTTCAGTGAGGTCACTGAATGGAGGAAGGGATCCATTGGGATCAGTGAGGTGATCAAATATGGGACGGGACTCATTGGGATCAGTGAGGTCATTGAGTATGGGAAGGGATCCATAGGGATGAATGAGGTCATTGAATGCAGGAAGGGACCCATTGGGATCAATGAGGTGATTAAATATGGGAAGGGACCCATTGGGATCAAATATGGGAAGCACCCATTGGGATCAAGGAGGTTACTGAATATGGGAAGGGTCCCATTGGGATCAATGGGGTGATCAAATATGGGAAGGGACCCATTGGGATCAATAAGGTGATCAAATATGAGAGGAGACCCATTGGGATCAAATATGGGAAGCACCCATTGGGATCAAGGAGGTCATTGAATATGGGAAAGATCCCACTGGGGTCAATGAGGTGATCAAATATGGGAAGAGACCCATTGGGATCAAGTATGGGAAGCACCATTGGGATCAATAAGGTCATTGAATATGGGAAGGGTCCCACTGGGATCAATGAGTTCATTTGAATACAGGAAGGGACCCATTGGGTTCAATGAGGTCACTGAATATGGGAAGAGACCCACTGGGATCAAATAGGGGAAGCACCATTGGGATCAGTGGGGTCATCAAATACAGGAAGGGACCCATTGGGATCACCAAACCCAATCCAACGTGTGGAGAAAAGTGGGAAAACGCGACCTGAATTCCCCTACCACCGCAAATCCGTCTGCTCCCCCCTCAGACAGGGTGGGGGGGTTATGGGGTCAGGGAGATGCGCATGGAGACAAAATGGGGGGGAAGAAGGGGGGGTGAGTAGGGCACATCATAGGGGCACTAAGGGGGATTTGGGGAGCCTCCAAACCCCCAATGCTTTCACCACACACACGCAGTGCCCCCAGTGCCCCCCCCCGCAGCGATCCCACATCTACCAGTGGGGAAACTGAGGCACGGGACAGAGCCCCCCCACCAACCATGCACCCTATGGGCCCCTCGGGCTGCCCTACGATCCCATGATCCCCACCGCCCCACATTGGGGGAAGTGAAAGGGGGGGGGAGGGGGGCAGCCCCCCATTGCTCCTCCCCGGGACCCCCTGAGGGGTTCTTCCCTTCGGAGCTGTTTTCATGTCTGTGGGGGGGGATATGGGGGGGTTTGGGGGAGGTTGGGGGGGTTTGGGGGGGGTTGGCTGCCACGTGGGGCTTTAACTCCGCTATCCCCCAAATCCTCTTTGCGCCACCGAACGCAGCTGCTCTGCTCTATCAGCCGTGCCCGCTTTTACCATTGTCAGCCCCAAAACCCCACATCCCTTAAAGGGTTTCGGGGGGGAGGGGGGGGCAGACCCCCGAACTGACCCCAAACCAGTCCCTCGGGGAACGCAGGATCCCCTCCTCCTGCATCGTAACCCCCCCCTCCCCAGCAATGCCCTCGCATGGGGTAAGGATCCCCCACCCCCAAGGTAACAACAGAGCGGAGCCGACACCCCCAAATCCCCCCCACCCTTTTCCCCGTGGG